GGGGGCGGTACCAGGCCATGAGACCCAATCCAGTAGGCAAGGGTTGAGAGGCGACTGTGCTGAGCCCACAAGAGGTGGGAGTGGTGGAGGGCTCCTGGGACCCAATCCCAGCACTTGGGGTAGGGCGGGCACAGTGCCAGGCCGCAAGGCCCAATCTGGCCTACATGCTAGCCCCAGGCAATCATCTGGCCCATGGGGCCAAAAGGTTGAGCACCACTGGGCTAGAAGATCATCATAATTTCCTCCTCTAGTCTTAAAAAAACACCCTAATCCGCTTCTAGAATTTTAAGTAAAATGAAAGAAGAAACAGCAGCACTTGTTCTATGAAATAAAACTTTATTTTAAGATACTATCCTCCAATTTGTTCAAGCTCTGGACCTTAATTTCTCCAGTGCCCTTTTCTACATGACTGTTGATTTTCCTTCACAAGAACTTTCTCCAGCAGTCTCCATATTATTGATAGATTCTTCGTGGCTCCCGCAGGACAACACCACCATCTGTCATGGCTTTTTCAAAACCCTGGAACTGGTTTAAAAAAAACAAAACAAACAAAAAAACAAACAAACAAACAAAAAAAAACACAAAGCTTTAAGAGCAATCTAAACATACTGAGCCAGATTCTATTCCACCTATTAGGCATCTAAGTGCAATTTTATTACACCCTGCTCGAGTCCCTAAAAAAAATGTGAATACAGAAGTCAGGCAAGTCCTCCTCCCACTGCTGCTTTGTGACAACCTTAAAAAATGACAGTACGGATATTTTGTAGCTTTGGAAAAAGAGTAGAACAGAATTGTACTTAGGCATCCAATACACTGAATAGAATCTGACTCCATGTGTCAGCAGACAGCATCAGATAGGCATCCTAAGCTACAAAGCATCAGAACTCAGATACTCCCCTGCAGGCTATAGTAGGCCATCAGCTGCTTAATGTCAATATGGTCTAGCACTTGCTTGCATATGTTTGACAAAATTAGGGTAAAGAAGAGGCAAAGGAAATGAGGATAATACAAAGGTAATAACCTTTTTTTCCATTCTATCTTGAAATTGTTAAGACCTAGGCAATCTTGAGCAACCTTTAGCCTAGAGGACATTTAGAGGTCTGATGCTAGACAAGACCAATTTTAGACAAGATACAGCTCATATGGAATAAAAACTGACATATGCATATTAATTAGAGCAATGGGTTTCACAGGTGTCCATGGCCCCTGAGCAGGTTTCACGGGGCCTGCTCAACCCAATGCAGGGAGGAACCACCTCAGCCCCCTAGGGTTTGGATGAGTTCTAAGGAAGGAGAGGGGGTAGGCCCACCCCAGTCTGCCCAGCCCCGCAGCCTTCATTTTGTGGGCAGTGCTGCAGGCAGGTGAGGCTCCATACTGCTGCTGCTTAGGTGAGTGGGGACCCAGGGCTCCCTGACACCGAGCCCCACCCACTGCACCCAGGGCCATGTGGGTAGAGATAGGGGGGAGGGCGGGGGTTTCAGGCTGGTCCTCTCCTGTGCAGGAAGCAGCTGCTCTACAGGGCCGAAAAGAGCTGCTGGGAGAGGTCAGTTGGCAGATGCTGCAGATATGGACGGGCAGAGACGCTGTGTACCCCTTGGAGCACCAATACTTTGAGCATAGCCTGAGGAGCCACTGGGCGCAGTGCCTGCAGAGCACTGGGAGAGATCCAATCCAGTTCAGAGCGGCCGCTGCAATGTTTGTGCATGCCTGTCTCTGTTTCCCACCCAGTCCTGCTGCAGGCAGCTAGGGTTCCCAGCCCTTGGCTGAACTCTCCTTGGGCCTCTGTGAAAGCCTGGGAGGGAGGTAGCCAGGCCATAGTAGGGGCATCCACAGCCAGAGGCTGCTGACCACAGCTGGCCCAGCAGCACCACGCATTGACAGCACAGGCATCATTATTGCCTGCTGCCTCAGAAAAATGGCAACTTCAAAAAGAAAAGATTTAATGATAATATATCCATGCAGTGAAATGTCATAATTTAATGTCCACTATAATTATACTTTATTTTGTCAATTATCATTTTTTGTACACACACACAGAGAGAGAGAGAGAGAGAGAGAGAGAGAGAGAGAGAGACTATCAATTATCAATTTAACATAATTTTTAATCTAACGGATATGCAGAAAAAGTTTGTGGCACAGGTGGATGTGGACTTTTTATAGTATGTTGTGGGCCTCAAGGGCCTCCTTTTCCACTTAGAAAAATGAATCTTAAAATTCTCTAAAATTCTCTCGAGAAATAACAAGACTGTTATTTCTTTGGCTAAATGCACATTTCATAAATTTTAATCATTTGCTTGATATGCCTTATCTGCTCTGTATTTTATTATTACATTTGTATTAAAAAATTAGATAATCATAGCCACAGAAGAAACACAGTAAAATTCCCATAACACCAAGTGTAAGGAGATTGGCACTTGCCGAGTCAGAGTGGCGTTCCCAAGGGACAACAGCTTTGAATTCCACAAAGTTGATTCCTGCTTCCAGACAGCGTTGTGCCAGCACAAGTCCAATATTCTTACATGCTACCACACCCCTAGGGCTGTATAAATGTCTTTTTATAGCCCACTCCCGGGTAGAGGCCAAGACAATAACGTTACCCCTGGGATCTTCAACAAAGGCTTCCACATACTGCTGTGTCCGTTCAAACCGTAACCTGGGTAAAGAAGTATTGTGGAAAAAGAAAACTAATCAAAGAATTAATAAGCCCCTCGAATAACTTGGTTTACTTATTTTTATTTTAAATTACATAATAGTGTACAACCAAATAAAAGGGTATGGCATCTTTAAGACCAAAACAGTATCTTTCCAAAAACCACTGAAACGGATACATTGCAATATAGTTGTAATAGCCCTGTTTCTCACTTAATTTCTAAAACCAAGCTAAAGGAAGTAAGTTGCATTACAAACTAGGGGTGCGCTGATAAAGATCTCTTTGGATGATACCAACTGATTATTAACCAGCCATATTGGCCATACTGATCCAATAGCCAATACACAACCCAGCAGCTTAGAGAGCAGCATCCAGCTGGTAAGTCTGTGGGGGGAAAAGGGGCATGGGAGAGAGAAGGAACAGATCAAGGCCCCCACAGTAAGGGAGGGAGTGGGGCAGGAGCACAATCCCCCCAGATGTGTGCGCTGGGTGAGGGCAGGCTGCTGCTGTGGGCTCGGGGCCAGAGGTTACATTGGCTTCTTCCTGGTGAGGGGGACTGGGCCAGGGCTGCGCTTAGGGCAAGTGGCAGCAGAGCTAGGAGGAGGGTTATAGTATGGGCTACAGCTACCTCAAATTTCACTGTACCCCCTCCACAGAGCTGCCTCCCAGTACCCCCACTGCCCACCCCAGCTGCACCCCCCCCTCCCCCCCCCCCCCCCGAAAGAGGGCAGCCCCCCCCCTCCCCCCCCCCCA